GTGGGTCACTGAGTGTGGGATGGTCAAGTCCACCAAGGAGCTGCAATGCTCAAAAGCGTTATCCCCAATGTGGGTGACTGAGTCCGGGATGGCCAAGTGCACCAAAGAGCTGCAAAACGAAAATGCTCGATCTCCAATCTGGGTCACGGAGCTTGGGATGGTCAATTTGGCCAATAATTTGCAGTGTTGGAAAGCACACTCGGCAACTTGCGTTTCAGAGTCTGGAATTTCAATCACAAGGGGCAGCTCCAAATCAACGTCGGTCCCCAAGGTGGTGATGGCATCTTTGTCAGCGCATCTTGCGGTGTTTGCATTGAAAACGATGCTCACAACAGCATCTGCCGTGAGCCCTGTTTCCAAAACCCTCACATCATTGGCCAGCAGTCGGTTGTCTCCAAGAATGATCTCCACACGAGTGGTCTTCCGAGTAAGGTCGTCCCAGCGCTGTCCTTCTTTGATCTGCTCCTTTAGCTCTGCACCGGTCATCCCTGGCGTAGCTTCGAGACACATCATTTCACCACTGGCCTGTAGTGCTGAAAGCCTCATCACCATGGCTGACTTATGCTCACTCTGACCTGTCTTCAAAAAGAGTCTAGTCAAAGTCTTCAATGATTCAAAGCTGAGCTATGTTCTACGGTGCCCCGACCTCAGGTTGCAGCATGCCCAGATCCGTCTATGCCGGTCCGAGCATAGCTCCTCCAACCCCGCCTTGGGGCCTTCCAAAAAAGGCGGCGCCGCTCAAACGGTGCTGTGCAGAGGTGCCATCGCCGGTTTGGCAAATTGACCTAGATTATGGGGGAATTGGGTTTCCAAGACGATGCCAATCACATCCTCATTCTATGTCAGTTGTCTCGACCGAACGACCGACTCGACCTCCCTCACTCCCCATGTGCTCGTCCACTCGGACTCAGCATCAAAAGACGGGCCTTCGGATGTGTGCACACTGGTTACTGCCATGCTGGGCGCCAGTCTAAATCGTCATCCAAACTGGCAAGATGATGAGAAACCTACGACAGCAAGGCAACCTACGGTGACCTACGATCACTTCCCTCTCGCCCAAAAAACGTATACGGTCATCTTCAGTCCCTGAACATCTGCCACGAATCGACTGGCACTGGCCCACCAGACACCAGGCACTGGCGCCAGGGAAGTCCACACTGGACCCCCTGAAGTCACCTCTCCTGAGCTCCCTGGCGCGAGTTCACCACGCACGCCGGCCACCAGCTTCTCGTTGAAGCGGGTCCACATCCCCTCGGACGATTTCGCGGCACCGGGTGGGTTTTCCTTGGGCCTTCCGTGTCGGCTTTTTCGAACGTGCAGAAACGGAGCTCGCGCCGGAGGAGTGCAACTGGCTGTTTGGAATGCATCTAACTCGCCCATCTCGCGTGCGCATCTGGGCCATTCGTCCTTGAGGTGCTACAGAGCAGGTGCCGTTTTCGCTCACTTGAAGCTCTCTCTACCAGCACCTCCAACAGGTCACCAATTGAAACCTGTTAGGGCCAAACAACCCTCCATCCAAAGGAGACCTGTTGGAAGGTGCTGGTATCTTCATGACCAATCATGAAATTGCATCAAATTGGACTCCGTCTGAACAGTTCCCGCACCAAATGCACAAACGACCAACGAAAGAAACGGCACGCCTCCTCTCACTCCCCCAAATTTCCAAAGCCTCCCCTCAAATCGCTGCAAAAACGATTCTCACCTAGGTTTTTGTTGGGTCATTTGCATGATCTGCAGCTCGACCTGGACCGGTTCATGGACCGAACACAGCAGCGCGCACGCGCTGGGTGAGCGCCCGGCGTGCTGAATGGAGCGCAGGTCCAGCTCGCAACGGCCCAGGGAGACATCCTTGAAGTTGTTGGAATCCATGACCTTGAGGATTCCAGGCGGGTCATCCAGGTTTGACTCTCATGACTGGATGACTAAGACATGGACTAAGAACATCACACAGGGTTTGACAGAAGGTTCAAGACACGTCTTCTGTCCAATCTTCTCACAGCATCTGAATCATGCGAAGATCTTCCTTCTCAGAGTCAGGTACTTGCTTCTTTGACCTCATTTCGCTACCAACCGGCTGCAAATTGGAGGGCTGCCCCCGACATGTGGCGTCAAACCCTGGAGCCCTGCTCCACGTTGCAGCCCGACCTCCCAGGTAGATGAACCGGTCTCCGGTCTCCAGCTGAGCCTTCTCCCACCCGCCTCGAGCTCCACCTTGTTGTCCTCCGCCCCCACTGAGAAGCTGAAGAGGTTCTTCTCCTCCCAGGTGTGCCGCCCCGGCCACGGGCGGGTGCAGAGTCAAGCGCAAGGGACACCACACGAGATGAGACCTGGACCTGGTCTCCGTGTTTCGGTGTCTGCCATCTGCCAACCCGGACCCGCAAGCGGGTCAGAGGAAGCCCAACGCTTTCAGACGACCCCATTCCTCCCCTGTGCAAAAACAACGAGATCTCGATCAGAAGCAGAAGTTGGAGACCACAGACTTCTTGGCACCCTTCGGTACTTGGTATGCCTTTCCAGGAGAAATTTGTCTGTCGTGTACATGGAAAACCTGGTCGACCACCATGGTCATTCGGGGAAAGAACCCGTGCTCCTTCCAGGATCCCCAAAAAAAAAGAACCATCCGTTTCACATCGACCTGATCATCTCTTGTGGAGAGTCTCAACGCCGCGGAACGTCGACCATTCCCCATGGCAGGCATCTGGTGGAACCGCAGCGCCCGCCTTGCCTGCAGCTCCCCAGGAGGTCTGACCCGGCAACACGGTCCAGTCGGATGTCGCGAGCCCGACAGCTCCTGCCACACCGGGTTCAAGGTATTTTTGAGGACCTCGGTCTTCTGCTCCGTGTTGGCCACCCGCAGCACCACATAGGGATCCGACCTCGACGTGATTGTGATGGGTAGAATGTCCCACCACAGGCGGCCGGGCACAGGAAGAAAGACAAAAGACATGGAATGACGTGGATGAACACCCAAAGGCCAATCCAAAGCAATCAGAGTCCGATCGAATTTACCGACTGTGTGCCGTTCTGATTGTGATGGGTTTTCGCTTACCACCCAGCAGTTCTCTTTTCAAACCTGGGCGGCGTTTGCATCAGCTCAACCCCTAAATCAATTGAACCGAAATGCCGCAGGTGACTCCAGGTCTTCATCAGCCTTCCACTTCATCTTCGTTCAGCTTTCTGGACTGAAAGAAGCTCCGGTTTGAGGTGAGAAGACAGCTCCGAGCGTTTCTGGTATAAAGCTTCTTCCACACCTTTCAACCATGGATTTGGAGAAAATGGATACATGTATAATCATTAATGAATATCAGTACATCCCACATAAATAGATAGAAAAGTAGTAGATGCCCCCCACATTCAGAATGTTTTGGAAAGCGTGGGGTGCCATTGTCTATTTGGAAAGCACCTCTATTTCAAGACTGGTAGGCTCTTCGATCTCATTCCCAACGCCCCGACAGTCACGGCCCGTGAAGTGTGTGACGTCCGAGACGGAAAGGTCTTCCAAGACGTCCGCTGGTGGCCTTTGGCCTTTAAGGTGGGCGGGCGTTTTGTGTCCCACAAAGCTGGCTTCAGAAGACCACACAGAAGACGGCCTGTGTGGCCATAGCAAAAGGTCCAAAGGGTTTCTTGAGAATGCCATGTCAGCAATCTGTTTCATCTATCCTATGTTTGGCAATCTTCTAATTCCAACCAGCACTCACCACAGGCTCTCCTTGATGGAGACACCCTGATGGGTCAACCGTTCAACGGTGCGCCCGAGCGGCACGTCCCCGAAGAGGCCCGAGTCCACGTTCGTGAGGTTCGCCGCGGAGTTCACGCCTGGACTGCGGATGCATCACAGCGTAGCGGTGAGGGCAAGGGCGGGCCGGGCGGTGGAAAGGCAGGGCGCTCCACCGAGCAAACTGGAAGAGCTGAAACAAATGTCAAGTGCAAGCGATTGCTCGCCCTGTTCCGTCAGTTCCAGAGATGGTCAACCTGTTCTCGTCTCTGGTCGCCACTTGTGTTCTCAATGTGAACAACCGCGGCCCTCCGGGAAATGTGCCCTGTAGTCAAGCACAGGTCTTCAACACCATCTTCGTCATGTTCATGGTTTGTGTAATTAATATGTATGTTTGTAGGTTGTCAAGGCTATGCTGCTCAAATGCGTTTGAGGAAGAAATCCTGCACCACCTGAGGATTCCAAAGCCCTGCAGATGCTATGAATCCATGATATGCATGGTGCCACTGATCGGGTTTTGCTCATTGTCTCACTGATCATGTCGCTTTGGCGCGCTGCACTCGTGCTAGGCGTGCACTTCATGAAGTACGACATGTCGTTGCCCCATACTCAACTCAACCAAATGTAGCCTGTTTTGAGGCCTGTTTTGAGGCCTCCTAAAAATTCCCGACGGATCCCCTCCTGTTCCCCCCCAGTGATTGGATGGTCCCGTTTCCTCCTTTTTGGTGGGCCAACCCCACGGTTTTACGCTTTTCCCTCCCTCCCAGCGGTCAGGTACGCATTGAGGGTACCCAGGCGGATTTGAAGCACCTGCCCGGGCCGAGCGGTAGCGGTACCGCTCGTGCTTACCTCGGTACCCCCCTGGTGCAAACCTGTGGGGCCCTCTTCAGACCAACTAAACCAAACTCATGCAGCTTCACAACTTGTGGGAGTGAATTCCACCGTGGACTTCGGAGAGAAGTCCTGCTACCTTCTGTGGAAAAAAAACATCGCCCTGATTCGCCCTGCGCCATCCCCCTTTTAAGCCTGTTGGATTGAAGAGCTCCATGCCAGAATTTCTGGGTGGAATCAGTTGGATAATCTGCCCGGATCTGAACCGGATCTGACAAACCGGGTGAACTCAGATGACCCTCTCGTCTCGCTTTGAAGCTCTAACCGCTCTAACCGGCCAACAACGCCGTGGGCAACGCGACCAGAAACGACCGTGGAAAAACGGAGAAAGCGCCGTCTTCGCAAAGCAAGTGGGCATCTCTCAAACTACGGAGAAGAGGGCCCCCCACCAAACCGGGGAGAAATGTGTTATGTGCATAGCAACATGTGACTCTTAATAAAGAGATAGAAAGAAAGATCCCTAATAATTTTGACATATACATATATATATATATTGCCATATATGTAAAGTGTGTGTGAATGTCTTGCCGTAAGCCTTAAGAACCCTTGGACCCTCCAGTTCGCCGAACTCTTTTCCCCTCACCCCCCAGACCCTCCTTCCACCCCGCACACCGGGCGCCCCGGACGCTCTTCTCGGACTCCCCGGCCGGCCTGGCGCCCGCGGATCGAGCCGGGTGAGTTGTTGGGGGTGACTTTGGGTCAAACCTTAAGGCACCCTTAGTCAAACGGTTCAGGCCCTCAGGCATCAGACTAGCATCATCATGCATCACCAAGCGCTGCCGCTCGGTGACTCGGTGTCCAGCCAGCAACCGAAAACGCCCCAAAAAACGGTGGTCCGAGGCCTTCGAGGAACCCCCAACGAATGCGTCCAGAACATCCCCAGGTTGGCCGCCTGGGTTCGATGTGCATGTCTCCCAAGTCCGTGCTGCTCACCTGGGTTTGGCGCCAGGGTCATATACGGCGTGGGCATCAAAAAACGGATGATTTTTCAAAACACATCACGGTGTTTCCAAAAAAACAGAGCTCTCGTGAATGGTGCTTCCAAACAACGGAGGTCCTGAGCTGTATGTTATTGCTTAGAATCCTTGAAGCAGTGCCATGTAGAAGCTGGTCCGTTCCTTCAAAATTCTGAGCCACCGTTTTCAGAGACATCCCATCCAGCAACAGTGCCGAAGCCCGTCCATTCACCCGCCAGAGGAAGCCCGCGCCTGCGATCTGGAGCGGCCAATGGCCTCAGGTAGGACGACCCCTGACACGCATGTATTCACACACCTGGACCCATCCAATAGGTGTGTCCTGATGACCAAGTGGCCAAAACCAACCTGTGAGGACTCCAGCGAATCAGCCTAGCCAGGAGCGTCCTGATGAATCTACTTATGGTCCACCCACTTCATCCACTATTATCCAACCCCACATCTTTCCCAAGTTGGGCTGGTGTCCCATGTTGCCCCACTCCTTTCCCACTACATACGAACGGCTCGCGCCATGCCCTCCAACCGCGTTGCCTCCAAGCGAAACCAACATGACGCCATCAGGACCCGAAGGCCCCCCCGAGCCACCCAAGTCGTGACTGGGCCGGCTTTCCCACGTGAGGTTTTTCAGCGGTCAAACACGCCGTAGCTGTCGCAGGCGTGGAGGGCAAGCGCACGGTCTACGTGCCATGCGCACCAGTGTACTACATAACGACTCTCCAATTGAGGGAACCATGCCAATGTTGTGCCGCCAAAAGGAGCCACAGTCAATGTACATAAGTTTTGCATAAACTCAGACTGAACCATGTCCGCCCGCAAAAGGACTGGAGCGTGACTCCGTCAACAATCATCTTGGATAGCTGTATTATATGACGCATTGCCCAAATCTGACAAAAACCGAAACGGCAAATCATCGAACGCCTGCCGCGCACGACGCATGCTGCAGGGTCCCACCACAAATGCCTCCTTGCAACCACGACGTGTGAGCTGTGGATGGTGTGTTGCTGTACCTTTGATTTTAGACTGCAGACAGGCCCGCAAAAGTTTACGCATCACCGCTCGATGGAACCTTCCCTCGACTCCGGTACATCATTGAGATTGTACAAAGGGGTGGACTCCACGTCGACTCATCACTGGACACACGGAGTCGTTCGTTCGCCCGTGGTGCACCATCCTCTTCTCCATGGCAGGTGGTTCCCTCAATGTGGGCGCCCCACCATCCCGCGGGACGGCCGGGCTTCGAGCGCCCCACGATGGTGAGAACATGCCCAGGGTTCGCGGGGGACATCTAGGGGGGGGTCAAGGGAATGGTGGTGCATTGACCTTGGCACTTTCGGTGTTGGGCGTCTCAAATGAGGAGTGACCTCAATGAGGACATTTATAAAATCAAGGGGAATCGCCTCAAAAAACAAGGCCGTTTCGAAAAACGGGGCCCCTCGAGTTCGACACGGGTCCAAAACAGCCCAAGATGAGAACTCACTTGTTAAGCTCCAAGCTCCAAGTATGACGCCTGTCACCTGAGCTAAAACCTCTGTGCTCAGGGGTCCAGGCTGTTCAAAGTCAGGTGTCCCAGTCCAAAGCAGACGACAGTCAAGGACACTCTTCACCTGGCACCCTGATCTTCTCAGCCGGGGTGTCTCAAGACCTGGAATATCGAGGGTGAAGCTTGTGAAGGAGGGCTAGCTCTATCAGTTCTATCCCAACCGGTGTCAGGCTCACATAGGAGGCTCACATTAGGCTCACTGGAGTTGGGTGCTGTTGGGTGCTGTACTTCATGAAGGATCCCTTCAAGACTTCACACATCAAGTGGAAACACTCCAGCAGCACCCTACTATAGCCTGAGGTTCCCACATAGCTTGACCTGCGGCTCCTGGGACCGTGGGATGCTCCAGGCTAGAATGATTGGAATCGAGACCGCCAAAAGCGGGAGGACCTTCGGGCACCTGCAATGGTACCGTACCAGGACTGCAAGCTGAAAGACCAAAGAAATCTGCGCGTTTTTCACTGCGCGGTGCTCTTACACCTGGTTATCATGAAACTCCTTGGATTCCGTTATGCTCATGATGTACGAATGAGGGAGGGCTGTCTCGCGCACAAATTGACTCGCTGTGTCGCCCTCAAAAGCATCTTTGCCACTGACCAACTTCGACTCCCTGTTACTTCGAGCTCGGGTTGTCCCGAGCTTAAGTTGAAGGAAGAACCCCCCCGAAAAGGATGCCTTTTTCTTTCTCGTGCCAGAGGTGTGCTCAATAACCGACACTAACTCAAAGTTCTAAGAAAGAATCTGTCACACCCGTAGGCACCCCCTAAAGGCCAGCATGCCTTGACTGGGCATTCAGGACCAGAGCCACCCCTTGAGGAATGTGAGCTTTCGGCCCAGTCCTTCGGCCATTCCTTTTGAAGTCATGTGAGTTTTCGTGTGGGTAGGCCCAGAACCAAGTGGCTTGACTCTTCGCTCAACTTTGTTTGGGATTTTCTATGCCCAGATATTGAATTGTCCACATCCAACGAACAGCTGACTTATATCCTCAATGCGGCTAGAAACTCTGAATTATGATGGTTTTGTATTGAAAGGCAAGCTCTCAGCAGGCTTGACCTGGACTTCGCTACTACTTAGATACTAATTTAAAATGGCTTTGTGTGGCTCTTATTGTCTACTTGCTGCGCAATGTTCTGCTTTTTGAGGGTATCGCTTATTCTGCACACAGCACTATTTGGGTCATTTCGTGCTCTAATGGTCAAATTTGCTCTTAGCACTTCATGATTGGTGCTCGCTCTGTTCACAAAGATGGGCTCCATGCGAAGAATCTGACATAAACCTTTGGGGACAACCTCGGTCTGCGGTCTTGGTGTCTTGGGGTGAACGATGCCCAAACCAATTGGAACATGGTCAGAAGCTCGGGTTTGTTGCTGATGGGTCATGCAAAGGCGCCACACCTGGGGGTCCACACCTGTGACCCCTCGTGGAACCTATGATGTCCTTCGGGGAATCATCCAAAGGTGAGTTTGGTACCAGTGTTTCTCCCCGTTGGTGGGGCATCTACCCATCTCCCCTTCTCATCCATCAACCAACCAGTCTCCAAAGCCATTCTCTATCGCCCACCGATGGGACTCCCATCAGCCTTCCCCACGAGACGTCCAAAATCCTCGGTGCCCCGGGCATCATGCTGAGATCGGAGCTGGTGCGCCGATGGCTTCCTGGCGATCGGTAAGCCCCGTCATAAGCCCAGCTGCTTGAGTTCATAAGCCCATGAACCAACAAAGGTTGAGGAACTCTAAATATAGTCAAAAGACTACCCATGCTATCCCATAGGTACCCCAGTAGGGGGTCCTAGTTCAGGTCGCTTCGCCTCTCTTGGAAGGGTCCTCCCAAACCCTTGCACCCTTCATGGGCCCGGGCCCGCCATGGTGCAACATGTGGGTCTCAGCGAATGGGATGGATCCAAGGCGAGGAACGGACCGGGTGGACGAAGCAGAGTCTCCGGTCCCGGGCCGATGGACGACCCAGGACCCGAGACCCAACCTGCGGGTCCTGGGAAATGCAGACTCGTTGGTAGGTGGTAGGTAGTGACCTGTTGGAAGGTGCTGGTATATACCCCTAGACCTCTGGGAGGGACCGCCTCTTCAGGGAGAAGAGTTGTGTCACAGGAGCCCTGGCCTCTCAGGTCTCGCCGGTCAGGTTGCAGATCGCATACGCCCACACCGGTGTCACACGGTTGCACGGCCAAGTGGCGCCACTTGACGAGCACTCAAGTACCAGGACCTTCCAACAGGTCACCACCTGCGACTTGACTAAGTCTACAAAAGCCTCCATTTCGGAGACCTGTTGGAAGGTGCTGGTATCTGAATGAAAAACCATGGATATCACCAGCACCAGAAACGTCCACAGGTCACCAGCACCCGAGAACTCACAGGTCACCACCTGCCACCTGCCACTCAAGTCTCCGAGACTGTTTATATACGCCCCCCATCCACCAGGTTTCCCAGTGCAGGACCTTCGGGGGGGGGTGCTGGAGGAGACTGCCGCTTGGCACTCCTTGTTTGTCACGTGGGGGAAAAGAAAGATTGAGATGAGAAACATGTCAACCTGCGAAGGGGAACTTCTCGGTGTTCTCTTTGGTTGGTTGGTCGTGGTGATTCACCCGTGGCATGGGGCATGCGAAGAAGGCAAAACGGACATGCGAAAATGGCATGCTTGGCTACGGGGCTTCTGATAGTTTGCTCCAAGAACCCTCTCAACTGGTGCTGCTCGGCAGCAGTGACATTGACCAATGCCAAAACAAAGGTGCCCCGCGTAGAAGCTACTTCTTCTTCTGCCAACCACAATGGAAAGAAAGAGAACTGTCACCCTAAACATCTTTGTGAGGCAAACATCTTCGGACTCGCATGACTCCTGCTCACTTCATCGGACTCCTCTTGGACCAGCCCAGAGCTGGTCCATCCTGCTACGCCAGTCCAATGCCCACGCGCGCGGTTTTTCGCGCGCCTCGCCGGTTCACTGAGCGGTTGATCTTGACGCCCTGCGGCTGCACCTCGAGGAAGACCTCCAAGATGCCCTGGCGTTCGGAAGAGGACTGCCTGGGTGTTGGGAAGGCCCCTTGTGGAATGCCGCCATTTTGCTCACGGAACATCTGGACTGCCTGGGTGGGCTTGCTGTTCAGGAAGAGTGGCAGCTGGCCTTCAAAGCCATGCCTTGGCAAGTGCGGCCCTTTCGGCATTCACAAAGATCGCCAAGTGGGAGAGCGTCGTTGACTCGATCTCGTCCAGTGCCAGGGTCTGTTTGCTTTGTTTCTTCCTGGCCATAGGGTTTTCACGGGTAGATGGCACAACTTGCACACAGTAGTGATGGATATTCGATGGGAACCAGAGGGCAAACACGAGAACCCCCTGTCAGGGAATCTGGGATGATATTGTCCTTTGGGAAAGGTGTGGGGTCCTTTGGACTTCTTAGGCCGCCTTGAATTCTCTCTCATCTCATGTTGCGAAATCAATTGGAATCGACTTCTGAAGCTGCTGTACCTGTACCCATCCTGTGCCTTGCTTGTCAGCCCAAGGAGTCGACACTTCCAACGCTTCCAACCAGCGGTCGGACTAAACCGACCGGCAAGCACTCGTGTTGTGCAGCGCCCGACCGGCAAGCACTCGTGCGTCGGTTCCGGCCCGTGCGAGCTCGCCCCGACCGGAACGGCCGGAGGTGCCCAGGGACGGATAGAACTGGGACATGCCAACCTCGGCTTGACCTCAGCAGCGGTCGGTCAAGCTGCTGACTTACGAACCGATCCGATGCAGAACCCAGCGGTCCGATGCGGTCGGCTCGCTCTTTTAGGATGAATTTCCCAGATTGAAACAGATTGAAACCATGGATTAAACGAAACCTCTTCAGGCACTAGTAGCCTCTTGTTACTAGTAGTCCTTGTTACTGGCAGCGAAGGCTTGGGGGAGGTGACATCAAATCAAAAGAGTTTCAGATGAAACACCATGCAAAACGTCGCCTCCGATGGTCGCGACGAAGAACGTCGCCCCGGGTTGGTCGAACGGTGCCGAAAAGGTGCCTTGGTGGGGTGCAGAAACCTTAAAATGAATCAAACCACCCCATAAAGGCACCCGGCCCCCTCCCTCATCCCAAAAAGTCGTCCCATCCAGGCGTTCGACGCGCATAGGTGATGCGAAATCTTTTTCTCTCACCTGAGACATGATGGTATATACATGTAAAACATGTACAGTACAGTACTCCAATAAAGACTCAACCAGGATCCAATTTTTTTAGTGCGGTGCCAAAGGGTCATCCAAAGAAGCAGGTGGTCATGGAGTCCAATGCAGGGCTGTGTTCATGAGGCCGGCCCCACCATCAGACACGCGCACGGCAGAGCGATGCTCTCCCACGCAGCAAGGGCAAAACCCTCGGCGGAAGCTTCCACCAAGCTTCCTGTCCAGAAATTGCACTTCCCCAGCTTCGTTTCCCCCCCCGTTTCCCCCTCTGGGAAGGGCATGAACACCTCACAATTCCACGGTCACCAAGGGACAAAGGTGCGGAAGCTCGGCCCCCGGCGCAGTCCCATGCAGTCCGGTCGGCCAGTTCGGCCCTTTTTGGCTCCAACAAAGGGCATTGCTTTCCAACAGCCCAGTGCAGTGCTCTCAAGCAACGATCTGGCACCGGCCAATCCTTCAATGAGCCTTCGAAGAGCATCAAGTTGGGCTCTAGATCTGCCATTCCAAAAAGCACGGTCATTACTCAGTGCTGAGTCCGGAATGGCCCAATTCCATGCTCAAAGGCAGACTTCGGCTCTCCATGGATCAGTGAGTTCGCAAAGGTCAAGCAACCTTCAAAGTCTTGCAACCAGCAGAGGTGGGTCAGAACCCGAACGTTCGACTATCCTAGTTCGGTACCCCTGGTTTTCCGGGTCCAGGTAACTGAACCTCTCTTGCAACCTTCAAATGGTAGAACTCCCCGTCACTCGTCAGTGTCTCACAGAAATGGTTTCCCCCAGAATGGCGGAATCGGGTGTTCCCACCAAGGACGTTTCGGGTGTTCCCCAGCCCGCCGCGTTCGCGAGACACTTCAGGAAGGCAGTCTTATTATGTCGCGGAGGGTGGGAAATCCAGAGAGCTGCAACCTTGAAAGGCATTGTCCCCAATGTAGGTCACATCGTGCGGGAGGGTCAAGTTCACCAAGGAACTGCAATTCTGAAAAGCTAAAGGCCCAATGTGGGTCACCGACTCTGGGATGGTCAAGGTGACCAAAGAGCTACAATTTTCAAAGGCACCAACCCCAATGTGAGTCACTGAGCTTGGGATGGCCAAGTTGAGCAGAGATCTGCAACACTCAAAGGCGTAATTCCCAATGTGGGTCACTGAGTCTGGGATGGTCAAGTTCACCAGAGAGCTGCAGCCCTCAAAGGCACCATCCCTAATGTGTGTCACTGAGTTTGGAATGATCACCTTTGCCAGTTTCTCGCAACCTATGAATGCCTCTTCGGGAATCTGAGTTTCATCACTTGGGATTTCGACCACAAGCAACAAATCCCAATCAATGGCACGGCGAAGGCCAGCAAATACATCTTGGTTGGCGCATGTCACCACATTTGGTTTGAAGACTACACTCACAACAGGATCTGCAGCGATTCCTGTGTCCAGTAACTTGGCATCGTTCGCCAGCAGCTTGGTGCCTTCGAAGATTATCTCCACACCTGTCGTCCTGCGAGTTAGCTCGTCCCAGCTCGGCTGTCCCTCTTTGATCCGCTGCTTCAGCTCTCGGCCCGTCATCTCTGGCGTGACTTCAACAACCATGATTTCACCACTTGGCTGGAGCACTGAAATCTTCATCGCCATGGTCACGGTACATGGATGGACTTTGGCTGCGATCGTTTACATGCCTTGATTGAATACATGTGCCACGTGCGACTCTGTGCTTGCCTCTGGCGAAGCTCCAACCAAACTCTGGCGAAGCTCCAACCAAACAAAAACGTGTGGACTAACGCATTCGCTTGAGGCACCTCGGCACGGAAGGGCGGGCGGCCGGCGGCGGCTCGGCGTGGCTTCGGTGGCCGTGGGTCGACCCCGCATACAGTAACCGCTTCGCCACTGCTGGTTGGTGGTTTCAACTCCTTTGACAAATGTTAGTCAGTGGGTGCAATCATCCCAAGTAATGGTTGAACATATGAAAAAAAGCACCACCCAGACTGAAAAAGGTGCGCCAAGGGGGCCGATGAGCTCATCTTGGGCAGCGTGAGGCTTGCAGGGCCTGGGGGCAGCAGGGGCCGGGACGACCAACGGCGCGACGACAGCGCTGATGGGAACGATGGGTGTGGTGGAATGAAACACCTGAAGGTGGGTCAATTGGCAGTGCAGCGGTGAGGGGGATGGAGAAAAACCTACGCACTGACACAGTCCGGGTGTCCTGGAGTAGGAGAACTGTTTACGTAGGGTGGGGTAGTCCAGCCAGGACACCCAGACCCAGACAGGATGATCCTGGTAGATGAATAGAATTAGACCACCCGGCTGTATACAGCTCAGGTCTGTGGTGAGCTGCTGGATGAAGACTTCCAAGTGGTGGTTCGTGTGGGTGTTCTATGAAGTTGGGTGCTGCTAACTGTCTATATATATATATATGTGTGTATATATATATGTAATTATATGTATATATATATATACCAGAACCCTCCAACAGGTGGTTTTTGCATCTAGACATCTCTGATATTTTTTTCCGACCCTTCGCGCCCGGCGCCCGGCGCCCGGTGTTTGCAGCGCCCGGGCTGGGCTCGGTGGGTCCGCTCCAGTTCCACCGACCCGGTTCGAAGGCCTTCCGACCCGGTCCGCCCAGGGGATTGGAACATCAACCCGTTGACCCAGCCGGGGGCCGAGTTCACGATGTTCACGTCTCATGGATCGCGCGGTCACCGATTCAGAAATTGGACCACTGGGTGGTGGCGGTTTGAAGACGATGTTCCGAAGAGCAAGCGACTGGGTCGGTTTTGGAGGGTTCCATGTGCATTCCTGCCGGGGATGTGCCCCCATCTGCAGTTCGTCTTCCGTTCCTTCTTTCAGCACCACCACTGGTGGTGCCGCCAGGAGCCACGCAGGCGAGGAGTCCTTTCTCTAGTCGTCCTAGTCTTATGGGGTCGAGATGGTCCTCAGGGGGTCGAGCTTCGGAGGGGCGGCTTGGCCAGGATGGAGTGGGGTTTTCGAGTGACGGTGAGGAAGGTGGCCAGGCTTGGCTCTGACATACCAAGAAAGGTTGAACAGCCTTACTTATTGCCCATCCCATATGTACCACTACAGGGTCTTATAAGGTCTCTCAACCTCTCTTGGTATTTGTGCGACTGTGATTGGACCTGTGACCTTGCGACTCAGCCAAAGACTGATGATTCTTGGAGTCCTTCATCCGAGAAAAAAGAGAAAGACACTCTTGCGATTCGACTGTCACATGTGCGTCACTGCCGGTTAGGAGGAGCGAGACCAAAACCAAGATGGGCACCCTCCCTCATCCCTCCAACAAAACATGGAAGTGGAGGATGCCCCCCTGTTTGGTCTTCGGATGTCATGGCCTTTCCGGAAGAAAAACGCCCTCCACTCGCTCCACTTCCAGGAGGGCCACCATGGGTTGCCCCCCATCTACCTGGTTGCCTGGGTGGTGCCAAGAGGGCTCTTGGGCCTCCACATCACTCGCACAACCACCCCCCCCCGAGACCCCGAGAGTTCCAAAAAGAACGGCCCCGAAGTCTGCAGTGTCAGTCACTCAGCAGGCTTCAGGTAGACGTCGAACTCCAACCTAGGGGATCGATTCAAAGCTACCAAACGATCTGAGGATCCCTGGACAGCTCCTCGAAACACCTTCCAGCCCTCGGGCCGACTCGGGCCGACTCGGTTTTTGCATTGGGATTCTCAAGTCGTGGATGAGGGACACCTGCTGATCTACCTGATCTACCTCCTTTCAAACAGAGGCATCCTCAGTATCAAGTCGACTCTTCATCTCATCACGCGGCCACGAGCTCAGCTCCAAGTGGAGCCGAGCTCGCGTGCTGCTAGTGCTTGGCAGAGTTTGGTAGGTCGGTCCAACAGTGATATAGGTGTCGGCTTCAAGTGGTGTTACACCTACAAGGTGCGACGACGCCCGAAGCACTTCTAGCACAGTGCAACGGTGAGACCTCACATCTGAGCTCCGATTCACTTGGCTGATGCTTCCATCACCTGAGTGCCTGGCTCTCCTCCCTGTCCCTCCTCCAGCTTCAGCCGGTAGTGGTGCCTGAACACGAAACCCCAAAACGCGCTCCGCGTTACCGCGTTACCGCGTTGGTCCACCGCGGCCAACGCCGCGGACCGGACCGTCTCAGTGGAGAGCGCCCTTTCAGGGCTCCGGGCCAACGTCCAGGGTCGATGGACCGAGTGTCCAGCCTCACACGGCCCAAGCCATCCTCAGGCCGCGCAGAGCGCCGGTCTGCGGGTCCGGTCCAAAAAACCGGGGGCGGCGGTGAGGAAGCGCCGTCTTCCCAAAAGCTCTCGGGAGGGAGGGAGTGCCATGCCTCCAGAAATGGGGAAGGCTTTGGGAACGGAAGAGAGAAGGGACAAGGAGGATGGTGGAAGCACCCACAAAGGACCACACGCAGGACCACACGAAGACTAAGACTTCCTAGGAACGTGCTAAACCTGTTTTTTTTAGAAGTCGAGTTCGACGATGTTCGGCACCACCCAAGTAAATGGAAGTTCCTTTTCGGATCACCTAGGACCGGACCGTTTTTTGGTCGACTGGACTCCCGGGCTTTCAGGTGATACAGCCCCAACTGTGACTCTTCCGCCCAAACGCTGGCTGGAAAGCGACCCAACTGTGGGTCATCATCTTATACCGACCCGACGTACACCACGTACACCACGTCGTGGTCTGTCCAACGGCGTGGAGGAGTCGCGGTCTGTTCGTTTCGTCTCGAACCGAACAGAAGAACCGGTCCGAAAAGGAGGCGAGCAAGGCCCAGGTTCCGTGGCCTTTTTGGGGGGTTGGATGAGCAGCTGCAGTTCGTTCAACGCATCAATCCAAGCCTCCTACGGAAGGAAGCTTAACTGCTAGTTCCTGAAACAAACACGGGCGATGTGCAAAGACTACATTCAAGGGCTCATGGTTCGGGTGTTCTTTTCAATCGTTTTGTCCCATGTCCCAATCACACTCCACCGTCTGACCAATCAAAGACCACACCCTAAATTGTTTTTCTACCCAGCGTCATCTTTCGTCACGTTGCTGTTCATCACCTGGGGCGTGGCCCGGGCTCCCACCGCGCGCGGAGCCCGGGGATTTCGCGCGGAGCTCCCAGCGGAGTTGGGTGGACTTCGGTGGGCCAGGAGCAAACCTGGGAAAACCAGGACCGGGTGAGAGATGGAGAGGAAATGATGCCCAAACATATGGTCAAGTAGACGACCTGATTCAGCAAGGTGATCGCTGAGCTAAGGGGGCATGCCCTGCTTTTCTAGGTTTTAGCCTAAATTCCGGGAAAGAAAAGCAACCGCTCTTTGCTAAACGTTTTGGCGGTTGCTCATTGCTCATGGAGAGCGGTCGGTTATATATTAAACGCCGGCCCGCTTCCAATTAAATCTACACCTCAATTACCTGTTGAGGCCGTTCAACTGGAAGCGTGGGGCGAGAGTATCCCACCAGGCTCGCTCTAGCTGCTAGCTGCTAGCTCAAAGACCTACAAAAAAGGTTGTTGCCAAGTTTTACCTGCAAGACCGACGCATCTCCTTCCCAATTCTTTACATGTAGTTTCTTGTGACTAGTAGTAATGCCAGGAACTCCTAGCAGCTTCTTGCTCCGATGGCCTCCAACGCTCCGCGCCTGCAGCAGCAGGTATCGGTCCAGTTCGTGATCCACCACGTTGAAGGCGAACTGGTTGCGCTCCTCCCAGACGTGGGCCACGGGCCAAACAGGCTGAACGAGGTCCGGGGTGACTGCGCGAGCTAGCTGGTGGTGTTCAGATTAGATTTTGATGGGGGTTAGCTACCAGGGGAGCAACTGAAAGGGTAGAGTTTCATGGCAATGCTTACCCAGATTCTGAAGACAATGGCTAGAAGGTTGGAGGAGGCCATCGCTAGCCGCTAGAAAAAACGACGTTTGGGTTGCAACAATTTTGATGTGAAAAAAAATATGAAAAGTGAAGATCACTGATCTTGCGATCGCAAAAGCACACGGCACGGCGGCGGCACGGAACGAAACCACGGTCCGACGGTCTCGCTCATGAAAATGCACGACCTCGGCCACCGGAGCACGACCAGCAACTCCAAACTCCCGGCACAATGGTGTATGAAAATGCCTGGATCTCACCGTCTCAGCCGTTTCACCCATACTGCTCTTTGAAAGGAAGAACACCTCTGAACCACAATTCCATGGAGTATGCCCTTGACCAGAAAGTAGCAACGCTCCTCTTTACTTGAGCCAAAACGGTCAGGGTACCACTCATGTTTATGAAGGTCCATGTCCCAAATCACCCCACCTGGACACGAGGTGATTCAAGCTTGTGTCCATTTTGGGACCACTTTTGCTCACTGTACAGACAATCACGTGACAGCTTTCGCTATCGAAGATCGTCCTGAAAGTGCCTCAAAACCCATCGCCTTTAAATGGCGTTCTACTGCCTCACTAGCTAGTGCTTTTGTACAAATGTCAGCTGTGTTCAGCTTCGTGTCGGTCTTGAACAGTTCGAATACCTTTTCTGTCAACTTCTTTTGAATCCAGAGAAATCGAGGCTGGACGTGTCTCGACTTTCCGAGTCCAAGGCGGTTGCATGTTCCAAGTGCTGCTGACGAGTCGGTGTAGCTTTGCGTTGATGCCCCAACTCCTAAACAACTCCCGGGTTGCCATTCCAGAAGCTACAGCTTTCACCAACGCGTAAAACTCGCTCTCACCTGAAGACAAGCTAACCGTGGACTGGAGGTTGCTCGAGTGGTAGCATGCCAGGCCCGTTGTACTCTTGCGAGTCAAGAGACATCCGGCAAAATCAGAATCTGCGTGAACTGAAACGACATCGCTGAACTTTTGCGGACTGAACTTTTGTACCATGCGCATTGTTCCTTTCAAATATCTAGCAAGACGTACGAGGTCTCCGAAATCAGCTTCGGTTGGACCTTCCATTTTCCTTGCCAAACACTTGACCGTCTCTGACAAATCTTGAGCTAGGAACGCTGCACGCATTGTGAGAGAACGGTATTGGTTGATCCGATGAGGATCAACAACATCAAGTTCCATCCTCTTTGCCAATGCTTCTGCTGTCAACTTTTCGTTTGGGCTCTTCACTGTTTTGCAAGTCTCCATGTTGAGGTCCTTCAGCAAGATCTCTGCATGGCGTGGATCTGGCTCGTAGAAGATGGTTCCTGACCTCTCGTCGAAGCGCACGAGACGGTTCGGGGTGCAAAACTCCTGCTTAGCTTCTCCAACACCTATACTTCCGTCAACGCGGGGATCATATGCTTCTCTTAATGCCTTTCCGACATGCTGCTGCACTGCGTCGTTGCCCAAGATGACAAAGTCGTCACCCTGGACTAACAGCCTTGCCTCCAGCTTCTCCTTGAAGAAGATGGCTGGCCAAGCAGCGGATCTTTTGAATCCGGCTCGCTTCAAGACGTCTGTGTAGGATTGCTGCCAAATGTTGGCTGCATCGCAAGTGCCATACATGCTCTTCAACAACAGTCCTACCTTGCCTTTTTCTTGATCACCTTCGGGGAGGGTGACAAAAACTTCACGCTGTGCTTGACCGTAAAAATGGGCTCTGCTGATGTCAATCAGCCGAACCTTCAACCGCTTGCGGTTACGCTTGGAAACCTTCAGCGTGACCATCAAAGAAAGCCAAAAATCTTCAAAGCTTCCAGAGGTGGCATTGCACTAAAGCTTGCGTACTCTGGAATATATTCTGCATTGTGGGCTCTCTTGATCTCACGACAAACAAGGCGAGATCTGTAGTTCGGTCTTTCGTTGTCGCCCTTGTTGCGGTCAACCCACTTCATTGCAATTGGAACTTTTCCCGCCTTTCGAGCATCTTCTGCATCCCCCTTTTTGTAGATGCACTGGCGTTGAACCCAATCCAACTCCTCCTTCCTAGCGGCGGCCACTTTCTCCAAGTCCAACTCTGCACCAGTATTGGCGTCGTAGACTGGTCTGGTGACTGTCACGTCAGCGGAAGGAAGATGGTCAAAGACCTCTTCCTCTTCTTCTATGACTGGAGCGGCATCTGGTACCGATCCAGCGCCTAGCGAGTTCAAAGCTTATCTGAACTCGCCATCTTCAGCAAGTTGGTCTCTCAACGCTTCAAGAATCCCTCGAACCAACAGTGGCGGGTTGGCCTGTGCCGACCTTCTCGTCTCGAGGCTCGTGGATCGATGGCTCGTGGATCGTCTCGAAGTTCTTTGAGGCTGGTTCTTCCCAGCTGCGTGCTCCTTTCGGATGCTCGTGCAAAAAGTAGCGGCCTCCATCTGTGCACGATAGGCACGCACTGAAGTTCGCAGATGCTTCTTGCCTTCTTGCAACCTTTGTGACCTGACCGACTGAGGAACATGATTCCGAATGTCGACCAAGTTCTGGAGCTGTGAGAATGGTCCACAAGGGGTGAACCACCTAAAGATTGGGTTGCTCCTTTTCAAGCAGTGAAAACAAATCCTCAATGTGTGAATCTTTGCTCATGTCCCAATGACTTCCGTCTTCTCGCTTGGTCTCAAGGTCGATGGCGAATCCAGGACGCAATCCGACCAATTGGGCTTGCGCTGAAACTATTGGCGGTGAAAAGACCTCTGAAACAGTCTTCTGTACGTTGCCCTTCTTGCGGGCACCCCTCAAAACAGAACAAAGTCGCTGCCTCCAGATGAAGCGTCTCGAGCTGCGACTGGAACTCTTGGTGGCTGGGGATCTGTGCTCCCAGCCGATGGGAGTGGTCCCATCACCACTGCCCCATCATCATCTACAACTGCGCCTGCAGTTGCTTCATCCTGCATCTGATGATGCAGCTCCTCAATGTCTGCTTCTGCACTTCGCTTTGTCCGGCGGGCGTCGGACTTCTGTTTCTTCTTTGGGCTTCTGGGCTCTTCTCCTCGGTCTTCGAGCTCGCGGCGTGCAACTCGTTCAAGTGGTTCTCCAACAGCTTCTCCCGAGGCCATTTCGGCATCAGGCTCTGGAACGCCTACCACCGCGGGAACGCTGGCAGCTTCCACAACCTCTGGCTCGCCAGCCCCACCTCCAAGTCTTGGAGCCTTAGGGCGTCGCCCGGCATCAATCCGAGCTTTTGCAGCTTCAATCCTCTGCTTTCCTTCTTCGGTCTTCATGAGCTCGCTTTCAATCCTGAACCTGCACTCTGGGTTATTTGTGGGCTCTACGACCCGTTCCGATCAACTGTGCCTCAATGGACACAATGGGGTGTAACCGAACTTGTCGATGTCGCTCTTCGTCACATACAGATTCCTTGGAATCACCTCCTCAACTGGTGGCCTTGTCATCGGCCCTGCGATGATTGGCAGGTCAACTCGAACCTCGCCAGGCTCACGAGCCTGGAGTCTCCAGGGAACTCCCCGGAGTTCACTGCAGTTGTCATACTTGAACTGGTCTTCAGGAGGTCTTCGAGTGATAGTGTTGCTTTTCACTATTCCCCTCGCGGTCATGACGAAGACGTCGTTGTTGCGCAACCCTGTGCCAACATACATCCCCATGAAACTCTTGGTGCAAGATCATGTCGTCGACCATCGCGAAGTGGCCTTGGCCTGAACCAGATATGTTCGCCGAAGCTCACTAAAGGAGTCCTCCACTTCTTTCCGAAGGTTCTTTCATAGGGAGTCTTTCCATCTGGCCCAATGCGAAACCGGGTCAGAAGATATGCGGCATGCCGTGGCAGCCACACATGCATGGATGACTTGGCTCAACCTCGAACCCAAGTCGTTCCTGCAAGTCAGATAGGATGGCCCTCACCTGACGCTTGAGCTCTTGTACACCGACCTCGATGTACCCATTTGCTTGATGATCTTCCACTGGTGCTTCAACCATGTGAATCTTCAGCTTGCTTTCCTCCTTCACTTTGCCTTTCAGAGCAAGGATGGCCGGCTCGTTGCCACTCTTCAAACAAAGCTCATTGAAACCCGTCTCATTGAGGCAAGCCTTCAACCACACTACGGAAAACAAATCTGCCCCTTTCGATGGAACCACGTTCGCCCAATAACGACTCGTCTTGTGACACTTCACAATCATGCACGGCAAAATGCCGTCGCTCTCCGAGTCGCTGTTCTTTTCCTGCCCTGCGTTCATGTAGCAGTAGTCTAGTGAAACATGCGGAATCCTACACTCTTCGTCCCGATCTGCAAGTCCACGTGGATGTCGCGGAGCCATTTGGCAGTGGATGCACCAGCTCCGATGAACAACATGCCCAGCAGCACCGTGTTCCTGAACCTCTTGAGCTGTAGGATCCGCCGGCGACCGCTTTACGATCACCTGCGCTTGCTCTTCTCCAACCTCTTCTCCCGATTCTTCATCGGGTGCCCCAGCCGACATGGCAGGAGCATCTTCCAATGGCTGGAGTTCCGGACTTACACCCGAGAGCCCTCACCTGATCCGGGCGCAATCCGAAAGTCCATGAGGTAGATCCCATTATGCATTCGCACCGGAGTCATTCCCCCATGCTTCTCGTAGAGCTTCTCCATGAAGGCTGAATACTCTTCCAGCCTGCGAGTCCTTCGGGATCAGCAATCCGCCACGGGCTCCGAGCGCAATGTGGTGGTGCTTTGCCACCTTCCGTCCCGAGGCCAGGGTGCGATGAACGCCTGTGACCCGGCCTTCCAAAATCTTCGAGCTCCCATTGGCGTCCGTCCCATGAAGGACAACTCCGCCTTCGTCTGCCAGCGACTCAGCCGACGCGGTCTTGTAGCTGATGTCCTGCGGCGGCGTCTTGGCGTGTCCCTCCAAGTTGCCTCGCGCCAGTTGTTGTACTGGTCGTCCCAGCTGCAGCGTCGCTGCCGCGTGTGCTGGGCCTCATGCTTGGCCTGACGCTTCCGCTCCTTGCGTGCCTCGCGCTTGCGCTTGTAGTAGTCCTTTCCGCAGATGCGAGGCTCTTGTGGGTCGTTGGCCGCTCAAGCACTGCCTTCTTGTCATCCGGGGCTCATGGGCGCGGCTTCATCCCGACGCTCGATCGGCTTCGACTTGTCGTTGCGATCGTCCACAATCTCGGTCTCCACATCGGTGTTGAGGCCATCGAGATCCTTGCGCTTCTTGCCAGTACCTGGTGCGCTGTGCTTGGAGTGCCACTTGTCATCAAGTTCAAGTTTCTCTGACACTCGATCGCTTCGCCGGTCCAAGACTGCCCGACGGCGGCCTTTCTCATTCTTCCAGGCGATGTGATGTGGCTTGCCAGCCGCCACATCAGCATAGTACCTGGAGTCATGGAAGGTCTGGTCGCGCATGTTCTCCTCGGTGATCTTGATCGACTGGCGAGGCGTGTCGCGCTGGAGCTCCTTCTTCTGCTTCTCCAGCTCGGCCTTCTTGTCCGGGTCCTCCTCAGTCCCGCTCTCTTGGGAGAGGAGGTTCGATGCCAGTGCACCTCGAAGCACCCCGAGCGCAACGTGGTGAATCCGGAATTTGCCGGTCTTGCATCCGACTTGGAATCCGGCCTTTGGCTTGGCCTTCACCTTCGATGGCATCGCCTTCACCTTAGGCTTCTTCTCCTTCTTCTCGGACCCATCATGCTCGCGCTTATTCGCTTCGCGCTCCTCCGCGGATTCCATCGCCTTCACCCCAGGAGGATAGGCTGGCTCACGAGGGCGGCGCTTGTCTGGCTTCTGAGGACCTCCTTCCGAAGCGGTCGGAGTCTCCTCGCTCCTCGTGGCCTTCTCGAGGAAGATGCCAACGCTTCCTTTTGGCGTACGCCGTTCCGCCTTCGTGGAACGTGCTCGCCTTGGCGGTGCCGACTTGGGCTTTGTGGTCTCACCCGCAAGCTTGAGGAACTCAGTGGCGCTTCCGCTCCTCTCGCGACGTCTACTCTTGCTCCTGTCGCGGCGCTTGTTCTCGCGGATGATGCGCTCTTCTTCCTCGTCAGTGGATTCGCGCTTGACCTTCTTCTTGGGTGAACGTCCGCGTTTCGGCGATCGCGAACGCTCCTTGGGGGGGATCCCGCGAATCACGACGATCACGGGGCTCCTTCTCTTCCTGGCGCCTGAGCTGATCACGCAGCTTGTAGTTCTCCTCGATCAGCCGCATCATCACGTCGACTGACCGATCTTTAGAGGATCCAGCTCCGGAGTCAGCAAGTGAGGACCTGCCTTAGCCTTCGACCGGCATGCGATTCATGTCTTCGGCTGTGAATCGCTTCATGGCAGTGAGGTCCATGTCGAGGTGAACCGTGTCGAAGGACGGCTTCTTTTGAGCCTCCTTCGAATCCGCTTTCTTTGAAGCTGGTCGCTTGCTACCCATATTGGATCGGGTGCGATGGAGTGCTCCCAACACCAACGAATTGCCTTCTGGGTTTGAGCCCGGGTCTTCGGTCCAGTCACCATACCAACCCGAGTCCCCTTCGTCCCAACCGGCGGCGTCCCACGATCCAGCCTGCTCCTCACCTTCTGGTTCCTCCTTTGCCTTTTCCTTTTCCACTTCCCCTTTCTTGCCTCCTCCTTTGCTTCCTCCTTTACCTTTCGGGGAACCTTTTGAGCCTTTTGGTCCGGAGGGCGCACTGCCCTTCGGCGCTTTGCGTTTAGGAGTCTCTTTGGAGTTCGCTTTACCTCCGCCGGGAGCCCAACACTCGGATTTGTAGTGTCCGAGCTTACCACAGTTGTGGCATGTGGCATTCTTCTTCTTGTCTCCGCCTGCAAGTGCGCCTATGTCCATGGGCTGTGGCCCATTGTAATCCGAACTGGAATAACCACCACTGGACTTGAGCTTCAGTCCAATGCGTGTCTCCAAGTATGTGGGAGTTCCTTCCAGACTTCAAGATAGTCTGCACAGCGTGCTTGGTTGAGTTGAAGATGTCGTTCAACCTCAACCGGACAAATAGACTCCAAGATGGAGATCTTAATGTCCTCATCCAAAGTTGGTCTCGAGCCATCAGCCTTTCGCCGATTCTCGTATTGTCGAACCTGGTCCTCCCAGTTCTCGACAGCTGCGCTCAACTCTTCAGCTTTGTTGCAACGGTTCGGACTCAGCACCGAACGAAGCAAAGCCCTCCGACGACCTCCAGTCGAAGGATCAAACCGCTTGCACAGTCGCCTCCAAGCTTCTAAGCCTTTACACTTGCCTGCGCTTCTTACGAGCGTGAATGCCTCCTTCTCGCAAAGGGATTGGAGAACAGCGTAAAGTTGTGCATCTTTTGATTCCAGGTCTGGTATCGTCTCCTGCTTCGGAGTAATCGCACCAAACTCGGCATTCATGGACGCGTTGCTGATTGAATCCGTTTCGTCTTCTGCCCAAGCCATCGCTTGGCCGAAGTCACCATGACATGAACGGACTCAACAAAAGCTTCCAACTGGATCTTCCATTGGAGGAAATCCGAGTTACCATCAAGTTGCTTGGCTTTGCCAAACCGCGGTTGTCCACCAGAGTCAACTTCTTATATGGCTTCTTGGACGCTTCCAGGATGGCCTTCTGCGTGTTGACCATCTCCTGCAAAGCTGCCTGCATAGCCCCTGTACTCTGAACCTATTGTTCAAGTCCTCTTCTCTCCTTCGACTCTCATTCAACTCCTGCCTCATGGATGTGATCTGGGCCGCGACCTGCTCGAGGGTGGCCATTACTGATCAGCTGCTCCCGGTCGAGTCAACCGAGAATTCAACAGCCGTTGCCTGAATGCCTGACTGGCAATCAGGTCTTGGTACCCGAAGATGCGTTGAAGCCTCCGAATCCTGAACAGCCGATTAATCAACCGGCGTCACAACCTCAGCACCCTCACAGCAGCACCATCCCTTCGCTGGCACAAACAAGTCCAAAGGGTTTCCCAAAGGGTGAACATCTGCCGGAGTCGCACCGAGCACTCCGCTACCATGAGCAGAAAGTAGCAACGCTCCCATTTACTTGAGCCAAAATGGTCAGGGTACCACTCATGTTTATGAGGGTCCATGTCCCAAATCAGCCCTCAATATCCCTCAATACCCCTCAATGCTGTAGTCTTGTGGAGGCGCCTTCTCTCCCCACAGCCCCCCCCCAGCTCCTTCCACACGGGGTTCAACTCGTTGCTCACGCTGGGCGTCTGCTGGACCATCTCTCCCACTTGTGCTACGACATAGGGGTCGGACCTCACCGCGAAGGGGCATATATCATCAGACGAAAGGCTTTCGGGAGCGGTGGTTCCGGCTCAACAACAAGTGATGGTTTTCCTTCGGCGCATGCCAGTCTGGGCTGGCACTTGGCAACTTAGCGTTCGCAGGACGGGCTGGCACTAGTTGGTTGATAGGGTTTGGAGGATCATCTACCGGAAAGAACTGGGACAGTCGTGATTTACCTGCACGGATTCTATAAAACTAGTCACAGGGCTCATGGGAAACTATTTGTGAACAGCGATTGCTTGTTCAGGCCCGTGTTGGATTCCAAAAACGTCGTGCACTGCCACGCGGCGCGTCGCCCATAATCCCCGAGTCCCGGTTGATCAAGTTGTACGCCGCGGCCACCTGCAGAAGAATGGACATGTTAATGAAATGTGGGTAGGGTTTCCGCATTTCCTCCATTGCACAGTCCCTGACACATGGGAGTGGAACATGGCCCGTTGGAGAACCATTTTCTTCCAGAAGCAGGCGGTTTTCCACTTCCACGTTAATGACTTGGAGTGTAGCCTTCCATGATTTCTAGGACGTCACTCATCATCTCCGCCGTGCGTCAGCTTGCATCTGCCTTTAAGACAAATTGTCAATGTAGCACCGCGTGCCCAACAAGAAAAAAATGTCAAGTCAAGCGTAATTAGTTGAGGGCTGGCGGGCCTCAAACTGGTCCTACGCCAATTGGGCCAATATATAAGCCCAACAACTGCGCTGTAGCCAAACAAAACCTGTCATCGTTGAACCCCATGGCCCACACACTGCCATACACAACCCTTTCCACGCCGACCGGTTCCCCACCCATCTGTGCCTGGACCCACCCGAACTCATCAACAAACGGCGCCCATGGCGGCCATGAACACCCGAAGCACCACGCACCACGACAGGCTGGCAAAGTGGGCCGCTCGAGGAATCGAGGGTTCTTCACCAAGCGCTAACACTCTGCGCGTGCCACTCATGACGTGCAGGTCACACAAATCGCAAAGCTCAGCATACCTTCCTGGACCCTCAAGGAGTGTTGATTGCAGCGCTCGCGTGGCAGAAAATGCCCACTTCCACGGTTCTCATCATAAACTTGTGGCGGCGAGTCTATCTTTTCCCGGACTCCCGTGAATACCACCTTTGCCCCAAGTGAAGCCGGCTGGTTCCAGAAACCAATTAGATTTGGAAGGTCCTTTCACGGTGCATACACTCTTAGATACCCTTGGTATTTCACGTTTGGCTCGACTAAGCGCTGCACCCAACATGCTGACAAGTGACAAGTGGAACCCACACCGCACAAAATATCACAAAATATAGGTTAGAACTAAATCCGGAAGCTTAAAAGGCGACTGTCTCCTTCATGCTGGATGCCCAACCGACCAGAATCCAACTTCAGAGTCGAAGTCCGTTCATCACAGGTAACAGCACTTAGGCTCGAAGACTCCATGGGCAAAGCGTTGCCAGCACCCAAGGTTGCAAATTTCCACATTCAAAGATGAATCAAACCTCAAGTGAACCTGTCCCAGAACCTCCCTGTGCAACCTGCTCAGAACCACGAACCTGCTCCGAACTCCGGAGCTTGCTCCAGAAGTTCCTCCGGTTTCTCCAAATGATTCCAAATGTTTGGTTCAAAACCAAGGTCTTGCCAAGCCCTTCTACGACCTCTCAACACGGCAAACACCTGTCCTACATGCCTGCCCTTGTCAGTGCCACAAAGGGGCACCCAACAACAAGATTGTCAGAGCAGCTGGAGGCTGGCAAGCTGATCGTGGCCACACCTCATCTAGGTCTCTCAGTCAGACGGCTCTTGGTACACCATGTCCCGCACGCATGCTGAATAAATACACCGCCGCAGCCTGTAGCCCAAAGCCTGTGGTCGACCGGCTCTCCGGCCCCCGCCCGATCTCATCAACACATGCCACCAATTGCAGCCATGAACAACCAAAGCACCGCTCACAGTGGGCTGCTGGATTAAACCGAGGGTCTTCACAAAGCGCCTTCCGCGCACCGTGGTTCAAGCTAAACGGCGCCTACCCTTCCGCGCAACCTAGCGAGGCAGGTCGCAAAGACATGGTTTCACGTCTTGGTCACCTTTTTGGATTGCAGGAGATGCGCGATACTTCTGCCATGAGGTTGCTTGGTTGCAACTTTGCCGCCTCCTGAATCACGCTGCTGGGGACGCGTTTCAGGCGGAAAAAGCCCTGTGCTTTTGGAAGGTTTCTAGGACTGTTTGGCCCATCTGCCTGGAGATAAAGCACTGTGGTGTGTTCCACGGAGGCCGGTGCTGCGTTGTGGTCCACCTCTGCCGCTGGCTCCTGGGAATGAGGAGCTGCCGATAAAACGCTGCGAAACACCGTCTGAAGCGACGAGCGCGAAGCGAAATCCCCGGAAAGCAAGCAACTGAAGATGAGACCTGTGGTATAACTCTAATCCATCCATAGCCATCCTCAACAGATCCCCTCAGTCTTATATAATCTCAGGATGTGCTGCCTAAGCCATCCACCTGTGAAAACATCTCCGCCGTCCACCCAGCGATTCCAGGCACCCGATGGTACACAGCCAACTTCAGGACGTCGCCAAAGGCCCAGCCGGAGATGACGCCGGTGTAGTCCCACAAGGGGCTCGGCCCCTTGGGCGTATCCAGTCGATGGAACAGCGGAAAAGGCCAGTTTTTTGAGGACTGGTAAGTTGGAAGCCCCGCAAGGACGATTTACAGGCATAGCTAGGTTTGAGAATGCCACACATACCCGCAAAGCAGGATATATATACAGTATATACCCTAGAAGTCCCCCCCCCCCAAAAAAAAAAAATATATATATATATATGTGTGTTTGTGTAATATAATATATATATATATATTTTTTTTTGACCGGCTGAAGTAACGGAAGTTCCCTATCAGGCCCCCTAAAGACCATTCTTTTTACAGTCTTTGATTCCCAGGCTATACAAATGGACTCAGATGGACACGTGCGGTGAGGCACCTCTGTAGCCTCAGGAAGACCAATCCCAATCAATGGCCAAGCATACCCTCTGCCCCCATGGAATCCCAAAATTGCGCAATCAGGAGACTCCAGCATTGCTTGGAAGATCTTACGGGTCGACCTGGAACCCATCACCGCTCCCATCACCTGTTTTGCAATACACAGTATTGCCATGAGCCATCTTTTTTGGATGGTCAACCTGGTCACTCGCGCATCTCGCGTGCCGTGGGCTTCTTCCAAGGCCCACCCGATCCAACAGTCGATCCAGCAGAGTCTGGGTCTCCGATCTTGCAGCTGCGGGCTTTGCAAGCGCGTGAAGGGCTTGTTGACCACTTCAATGACACAATACCTGCGCTTTTTGGCGCACCTGGCCACTTCCTGGTCACCATCCTAAACCCCAAACCTGAGCGTCCAAAAGAGACACTCAACCGGGGGTCTCCCGGGTCTCGGGGCGGAGACCCACACCGATTTGGCTCCGCCACCGGCGCACGTGGAGATCCGGCGGCCCCGGGTCTCACTGGCCAGACCTGGAGGACAGCACCGGTGCCACCGGTGGGAGGACACGGATGGCGAACGAGCGAGCGAGCGAGCTCACACCGCAGGGCGAGCCAAGGTGGGGAGATGGGGAGATGTGTGCACGAAGGTTGGAAGGGAATGTGGAGATGTGCATCTGAATGATTCATGGTACATCATTGATCATGGATGCTCGATTTGATCAGCCGGCGGGGACGGATGGGGGCCATGGCGGGAGGCGTGAACGACGAGGGACCCTTTGCCTCAAAAGCAGCGGCCGATGGATCACTTCATGGTCTTCATGCAAGCTTGGAGAGATCCAAAGAGCGTCGGGTGAACTGACCCACAAGGCTTTTGTAGTCTCGTGGAGTCTATAACAACCCTCATCCCCTACCTACGAGTCCAGTCAGAAAAAAAAGGGCGATCCTCTTCCCAAACCCCTACCACCCTCGCTGTACCAAGCATGCCCACGCCACCAACACCAGGAGCCGTTGCCTTTAACAAGCCTTTAACCCTTGCCCATTTCTGGTAGAGGATCCCCATGTTCATTAAAGGTCAAGGGAGGATGGGCTCCTGCAGCTCGTCTTGGGGATGGGCTCGGCACTCCAGCGCTCCAGACCGACCGGGCCTTGAGCTCCGTCCACCGTCACCCCGAGCACCGGAGCCACCTGGGGAGCGGGGCGCGCGGAGGTTTGGGCCCTGTGGACCTGGGACCGGGTTCGCAACCGGGGTCTATGCAGCCACCACAGGGGGTGCCGAACTTGGAAGATCGTTGCCCATTCTCACATCCACGGCTTTTCTGGATGGGGACGGAAAAAACACACCACCCCAACTCCATGTGAAACTCCTGGTGCTATGTGATCTCTTTTCTTGTGCCCCTGAAACTCTAAAGTCGTCCGTTGTGCTTGGCGTCGTTCTGCCACCGAGACGCAGAACGAGCGGCACAGCGGAACGACGGTCATGGACGTCGTCTAGACTTCTAGACTATATAGTCAATATGTGGCCAATACCTGATGATCCAGATGACCAAATGAACCGATCTTGGTGCAATCTTGCGAGATTGGGAGATGGAGATGGCAGCTCGAACCGCCCAAGCCCGGCAAAGGATGAGGACGAGCTCTGAAGGCGAAGGCCCCCCCCCTTTCCCGGGCCCCTCACGTTCACCCAAAGGATCCCAAAAGGTTTCAATTGCTGACCTGTTGGAGGGTCTGTTCTGAAACAGGAAACAGGGGAGTGGCCGGCGCGCTTCTGCATGGGAAAGAAGCAACAACACTATTTGAGCGCCAAGGCTTATATAATTGGATTGTATAACCTCGCCAAATGGGGAGGGTTGTGAATCAACAAGTCTACATTAAAGTAAAACATGCATCGCTCATCATCGCTTCTTGCAGTGCCAAAACCATGTTGTCATCACCGCTGGGCTGGAAAGTGCTCCTCTGTTTTTTGGAGCTAAGCTCAGCACGCCGCTGTGGTACTGCTCACGCAGCTTTTCTAATCGACCTGGCTGCACATATCTTTGTTGGAGGCATTGCTTGGGCGTTGCGCTGGCCAGCATCAGGGCAAGAGGCACCGGAAGTAGAGGCATATCTCACACGTCGAAGTTGATCTCACCGGTCAAACCCCCCAAAAAATAAACGATGCATGGTCATTGTGGGAAACTTTCTAAACTGACAGGCTATCTTTATAAGTGTCGAGTGACAACCCTCGCAGAGGCCAAGAGGATTCCGTTCACATCTCAAAAAATGTGGGTAGCTTGACTCCTCACCCGTCAATCTTAAGGCGGGTTCTTTAGGATTTCCTTCCGTCCAGTGGATCCTGCTTTTTGGTCTGGCCAGTCTACCTCCTGAAAGCACAGTCCAAGTCCCAAAAAACAAATGCATGGTTCCCCAAATCCCAACCCAAAACCGTGAAGATATGCCAAGGATCTGTCTTGCCATCTCCCAGAGGCTCCATGTATGCCATATATGCCTACATTGACCCTCCAAACCACCCCAACTGATCGGCAGCATACATGGAGTGTCTTGCCATATTAGAAACAAATCCCTAGACCTCCGATCGACCATTCAAAACATTGGAACGACCTGAATCTGGCTGACTTGTCGTGTCAAATCCTTCGTTGATTCGGTAAACAGCCTATTAAACGAATGGTTGGCCAGGAAGCTTAGGAAAGCCTTTCTTTCTTGCCCTCCCGCTCCCAGGCCCCGCGACGTTGCTGCTCACTCTGGTCGTGCAGCCTGGAGCGGGTGAGCGGACTCGGAGTCTGAGGGCAGAGAGGTAGAAGCAGCTCAAGAAGAGAGCCATCGACGGGTTCCTGCTGAAACTACATACTGTATATCTATATGTATGTATGTATTTATTTATTTGTATCTCTCTCTCTCTCTCCCTCTGTGTCCTATATGTTTTTAAAAAAACATATATATATATATATACATATATCTGTGTGTGTTTTCTTGGTTAACCTCTGATGGTCAAACATCTCCATCTCTTTTTAAAGATGCGCTTCCACCTTGATTTCTTCACGCGCTTCACCACCCCTCGTGGCTCCCGCTGGAGCCGCTGTCCGCACCTGTCGAGCAGCTCCTCCTGCGCCTGCGCTTTGGACTCGCCGAAGCGCTGCCTCGCCGCTGTCCGCACCGAACGGAGTCACGGGTCGTTGGTCGATCTCGCAGGTGAAGGAAGTGGGCTTGAGGAAAAACATGGGTCATGACGCAAAGGGTCTGGCCATTGTTTTTATCTGGATCAGATTGAGGGGGTGGACGTCAGGGCAAGTGATGCTAAATGATGGTATGTACCATCCGGTAGCACCTAAGAAATCAGGCAAGAGGAGCATTGAATGGGAGTGCTCTGAGATGATGGCATTGCAATCTGGACACCAGTTCCGGCCCTTCCTGCCAAACCCGACCCGGGAAACCACGCAAAAGCCACATGCGATGGTCGGGTCAATCTCACCAACCCGTGACAACGGAAAGTCATGTAGACTCAGGACTAAGAAACCCACCCCCACCTTTGGAGTGCAAAAATAACATGAAATATATAATGGGGGATTGTTCAAGAGTCTGCATTAGGTGCTAGGCTATATTAACAGAGGACCGCTGCGAAGCACTCGAAAACGCACCACCGAAGCACTTGAAGGCGCCGACCCATGGGACTGCCATAGGACTGCCGAGAAACGGCCAGGGGTGGTGCCAAGGGGGCCCAATGGGGGCGGCATATATGGCAGTCCCATGGAGTGTATGGGTTAAGAAAAAACGCTCGGCCATCACGTTGCAGGGAAGTAGTGGATGCTTTCCGGAGATGCTTGAAACTTTCAACTCCCTCCTTCAGCGGCAAGAATGCACCCGACCGCCCCTGTGGAAGAAACTGAAGAAGCCAAGCCAAAATCAAAAGTCGAAATGCCAAGCAAAAGCTGCTTGCACCTCCACGTGGGTGAAACCCAAGTCGCTGGTTCATCATGGTTAATCCAGATATGTCTTCAAGCCTGAGATCCAACCGTTTTGCAGCCAATTATGCGACCTGATGCTTCAATGTGTCGATTGAGAAACCTGAGAACCCCCAAAAAGAGACATGTGCCATAAATCTCTGGGTAGGTCATGATCATGGAAAATCTCCCACAAGTGACATCTACCTTATATCATCTTATATCCTTATGTAATATTGCAATTCTGAACCCCCCCCTCGGGGCGCCCGGCTTCAACTCGGAGGCGTGTTGCCCCTCAGAGCGAGGGAGGAAAGCAGAGGGCCCAAGAGGGTCAGGGTGGCACTCCGCATCCGGGGCCGCTTCAGAGGGCGTAATGGTGGGGGGGCTGAACCAGCCGAACTGGGCATGCGGCTCTGGGCGGATCCAAGAGAGGTTGAGAGACCTGAACTAGGAAGGACCCCATGGTAGGGGGGGGAACCCTCAAAAGCTTCACTTCGCAGCACCTTCCGGAAGTCGACCTTTCAAGCGATTCAACGGGAGGTCCCGCAGAGTCACCCAGCCCGGTGGAGCCCAGGCGGCCGGTGTCTCCCAAACGATGCTTCACAAGTTCTTGAACTGATCCGAATCACAGACCAGGATCCTCCGCTGTCCTGGCGTTCGACTACCCGACCTGTACCTTACATCAACAGGTCTCCTACTCCAGGGCACCCAGACAGGAAGTGCTAGGGATGAATGTCCTTTCCTTCTTTTTGGTATGCCTCGTTTCCGGCACCAACACGGTGGGGCCGTCCAGTGGTCCTTCTCCGGCGCCGTGTGGAGAAAGACCCACCATCTCTCGGACGCGCACGCCAGATGAGGCCCAACGGAGAACCCGAAAGACCTGGTTGTGACACTCTGGACGAACAGACCCTCCCGCAAACTAACACTACAACCCCAGTGGTTCTAGGGTTCCATGTGCATCTAGAGGGGACCTGTAGAGTCGGATGCTGGTATTCAACTCTGTTCTTCGGTGGGGACCCGAGAATCTGGTGTTTTCCAGCTGCCGACTCATCCGTGGGTAAGACAAAGATCCTGAAAGCATCGGAAGTGGCTGGGACTGGGAACCACCTCCGGAAATGTTTCTGGTTGGGAACTAGCTTTTCCAGGGATGGCTCCATCAAGCGCCTCCTAAAAGACGGAGAAAAGACAAAAGAAAACACGCCACGGGCGGATCTGAAGACGTCGATGCTACATCCGACACCCCAGGCCCCCCCAAAAGAAGGTGCCCATAGTGCCATGACGCGGCCATATGAACTGATGAAGTCTATAGTCCTGAGAGTCGAGTCCTTGCATGTCCTGATCTTCTTGGTGGAGCCCTCGGCTTGCTCCGCCGCACCCGGCACGTCCACGCGAAAAACGGTTCGGACGTCGCGTTGGCGCCGCCAGTGTTCGGCCAGGGGTCCATCTGCAAGGCCTTCTCCGCCGCATTCTGCTGCCTTCCACGTAGCTCCTCCAGCTGCTTCGCACGTTGCCTGGAAGCACCGGCACCACGCAGGCCGCGAGTCTGCCGGGCGTCTTGAGACTCAAGACAGGCTTCGTCGGCGGAGAGTGGAGTCGGCCCGGTGTTATCGTCCGAAATGTAGGAGGACGGCTCATCCTGTCTGTCAATGAACTGGTCAATCCTGCCTGCCCATGTTTGGTTGCCGAGAGGTACGGACCATGGCACCACTGGTCAGGCCACCCCGGCAACAACACGCGGCAGAAACCCTTCGGTGCCATCGGTGGGGCAGAAACCCTTGTTTGGGACATGGTTTTCGTCCCCACCTCAAAGATCTAAAAGGGATCGAAGGACTAGGTAGGGGACTCAACAAAATGCTTATAAACTAATTCTTTTGCCCCTCTTGTTTGAATTCATTGAGAGAAGTTGAACCCCTTTGGGGCAACTCGACGGCCCACGTGGTCAAGCGCAGTCCATCTCACATCTGAAAACGCGTTCATTTTCCTCGCGCCAGGGAAGGACTGGGCCATTGGTCTTGAGATGGCACTGCATTGATTGTAGTCTTGCAGAACTTCGAGGCTAACAAAACCTCACTCGAAAATACTGCACACGTCTGAGCAACCACGAGTAATTAAGGACTTACTTAGTTGGTGACGCTAGATGACGCTAGTGATATACTTGCTTGGTTTCGAGCGTTCTCAGTCCAAATGGCCCCAAACCCCCCCTGCGGTCTAGAACTTCTGCGCCCATGAGGGGCTCAGCTTGCAGCCTCCGAAGCCTTCAGCATGTCAACCAGGACAGCCTGAAAAAGTGGGGTGGGGTAGATTGGAGTTTGGTCTTTGTTGCATGTTTCAAACCTCATCAGCCTCATCCATCCAACTGCAAAGGGGTGAACGTTTTGCTGTGTCGCTTTTGCACCCTGAAAGCGTACAACACTGCTCTTGTCCGGGACGGACCACAAGATCGATCAGTTTGGAGAAGCTCTCATCTGGCAAGCCACGGAGTCTGAAAATCACTACTTCGGATCAACGGACTCCGCCAGCTCCCACCGAACCCGAAACCCCACACCGCTGTTCAACCCCACACGCTGTTCCCCACTCGCCCACGTCTGGAGAACAAAATGCATGCTTAAAAAAAAAAACGACTCCTTCGCGAGAAAAAGATCGGGCGCGCCTTCCGACCAGGACGCCGCACCAGACAGCCAGGCCCCGCCCTATGAGCCCTCTCGCGCCTCCATGAGCTCGCGCTGCACAGGCAGGGGGTGATCCACACTGGCGCCCACGGAAGTGATCACCGTGCAGCGGATGGTCTTCCCCTGGTTCTTCCTCCGTCGAGCCGGGCCGGGTTCGGTGGAGGTCGGGGCGGGCATTGGGCGGGTTCGGGGGAGATGAAAGGAACTAAAAGATAAATATATACATATATATTATATACTTCCAGAAAGACTAGCATGGACCCTGAAAACCACTGGTCGGTAGAGGAAAACACTCTTCCAGCAAGGCCATTCTCGGGGTCCATGTTAGTTGGAGTGTATACTTCCAGAAAGGAGAGAAATCAATCATCAAAAAAGCCTCTTCCACTGATCCGGGCTACTTATCCACCGCCATCTTCTCCATCAACCGCTCCAACGTCAGGCCCTTGGGCGCCACCACCGGCAAGCCGTACCTCGTTCGAACGACAATGAGTTCCGCACAACGGGAACGACCGCGCGCACACAACGGTGGGCTAAGCGGCTAAGCCTTTTTGCGGGGCTTTGGTACCAAAAACAGGCCGGTTGCGCGACGTGGGAACCCTGTCGCAGACAGCTGACCTCCCTGGACCTGAAAAGGTCCGGGATGGTCAAGCTCACCAAATAGACCCAAAGAGCTGCAAGACCTAATGTGGGTTACAGAGTTCGGGATGGTCAAGCTAGCCAAAGCGCTGCAACCACCAAATGCAGGATGTCGAATGTGGATCACGGAATCCGGGATGGTCAAGCTCACCAAGGAGCTGCAATCCGCAAAGGCGGCTCGACGCGAACAAACGGATCCACCCTGCTAGGGTTTAACCCTGATCCCTTCTAAGACCATCAAAAATGGCTGGTCACGTGGCTTTGTAGTCTAAAGGCCTTAGCAGCCTTAGCACAACAAAACATGGTTCTTCGGCAGGGACCCTTAAACCAATGGCTGTGGGAATCGTGGGGATCAGCTAGTCCCAGAGTGCTTGAGATCAGCTAGTCCCCGAAAGCATCAGGCATTCATGGTGGTTCGCTGTCCAGTAGCAGGGCCCCAATGACACCCATCCAAGCGGAGCAACGTCGCAGCACAGGTGGAATCTGGCAGGCGCAAGGAAAGCGAATGAGAAATGGAGAAATTTGGAACGTGACATGGAGCTGGATGTGAATGAGTCACTTTAAAGTAGACTGTTGCTGAATAGTCCCTGAACTTGACTCAGACTCCTTGATGAGAACCTGCCCCGGTCACTGAATCTCTCAACTCGTGGGCCCAGTGGCTTTTGAAAGCAGCTCCGGATCACTGGAACCTTGGATGCCTGGCATGAACTCAGAACTGACTTGGGGCGAACTCTCAAGAAGGACCGGCTTGCCGGCATCGAAACCGGGGCCCCCCAGTGCCATTCGAAGCCCGGAACACCCAGGTACTCATGGCTACTCATGGCGTCTCGACCCCGTAAGCCTTCACTTCGCTGTGGGGGATGGAGAGCCGCGGCTCTCCAGGTTTGGAAGCCGAAAAAGATCCGTCCGTTGGATCCGTCCGATTCGTCATGTCCATGTGATTTGATCTTCTACGCCCGGCCCGGGCAGAAGCTTCTGCCACCTCTCGTGGAGAACACATCGAGGAAGAGGCGGAAGATGCTGAAAAAGATGGGCCTCCAAGAAAGCACCTCTCTGAGAAACGCTCGCCACTGTTCTGGGGGTTCGGTGGTCCATTCTTATCTTGTGACGGGGGTGGGGTAGAATCATGGTATTTGGAAAGGCGCCTTCTGCGCGCCTTTCAGACTCTCTTACACATGTGCTGATTGATTTCACACATGTGTGGGCACCCAATGTCTTAGAACCAGGACCTTTTTGCATCTTTGTCTTCCATTCGCCTCAGCGGCACCTCTTCACGCGGTTTGCCCTAGACCGTCGAGAAAACCGCGTCGACCGTGCGCGAGGATCAGGCGAGGATCACGGTGGCGGCGGCGCTTGGTGAGCTAGGGTCGGAAGCTAGTAGGATCTGGTAGCTCCATGTGGCGAGTTCTGACTTGGTGCTAAGCTGGGCCCCAACCTCCCAGACAGCCAGTATCACTACAGGGTCACGGGCGTCGCCGCACCTCAAACAGAGTCAGAGTCCGACTCTGTATCGGACTGGTAGGTCAACCGTGGTCTCCTGGTGCCCAGGACCCACTGCGACCGGTCGGACGAACGGCAGCTATCGCCCCACCCGGGTGCCTCCAGGTGTCCCATGCGCACGGCCAGCTCCGCTTCCCACACGCAGCCGATGGAGACGCACTCGCCGTGCAACATCTCGGGGGAGACCAACGCCTCAACCAACGTCGCCGCTGCGCTCCGAACCGGCACCGGCACCCTGCCGAGGTGGGCACTAGCAATCATACTTATGCTCTATATATATATATATCGTTATTTTTTACCAGGACCTTCCTTTCGCCCAGTGGTTGTTGGGCACCCCGAATCACCGGAAGAGGCTGTTTATAGACACCTCGACTGGAAGGTCCTGGTATATATAGTTGTGGTAAGATCATGTGAAGTTGCCCACCCAAGAAACGGAGAGTGATTATTAACTGAGCCTTCCAACAAGTCGACTGGTACCACTGGGCAACTGAAATCGACCACCTGCGCAGTTCTTTGATTCTAGACCTTCAGGAGCTGACCCCTAGAACCTGAGTGACGCCCATTTGGGAGCACCGCCCCACTAGGTCTTGATCAGTTCAATTCTGCTCCCAGTTCTTCAAGGCTTTTTCCTATCAAAGGAGTCAAGAGATGTCAAAAGGGTTCGGTCGAGCATGGTCGTTCGCCCTCTGACCGGCCGTGCCAACCTGGGACACCTTTTAGACACTACCAGCGGCACCTCGATGGCATGCCCGATGGTGTGGCCATAGTTCCTCGGCACCGATGGGCACACCGTTTCACGAAGGCCACAGCGCGACCGGAGATCCAACCGATACACCGTGAGTCACCTCTCTGACCCTCTCCTTTCCACTTGCCACACATTGCTGAAGCTTTTTGCGACTGACTGGTCCCCTCAACATTTGGCGGGTGGGTAGCCTGGACCTCTGTCACCTCTGTCAGCCCTGCACCCTAAGGGTGTCCAACAGCTCCACCAATTGAGGAAAAGAGGTGGCCTTCCACCGTGCCAGGTCGCGGAGTCGTCCAAACTCCAAAAATGAGACGACCCCAAACCCGGGTGGCTTCCGAAGCCCCCCCTTTTTTTCCACACCCTCTGAAGCATCAGAGGTAAACACCTCCCATCCGAGGTTAACACCTGCCGCCCCCAGAACCGTCCACATGAAGTCCGTTCGGCTGTGCTTCAGTGTGGCGCGCAGGCCCGTCTCCTTCTCGTCGATGGCCACAATCTCCGCCTTGTGCTTCACCGCCTTGTGCAGCACCTGGCGAACAGGACGGGGCGGATGCAAAAAGTTGCAAGAGTTCAGTGAGTCCAGTGAAGAATCCCTCTGATGCCACTGGGAGAAGAAGTTTGGTGGTCGGTCATGTGGCCAAACAGTAAAAGATATATTCAATAACATCTAATCCAGCATCCTCAAACAGGTCAGCAATTGAGACCTGTTAGGGCCCCTACGTCTCGTCGCTTCGTCCCGGCTCACCGGAAGGTCTAACACAATGCTCACTCCCTCGGTTTAGCTGAAAAACACGGCTAACCTTTCTCCACCTGTTGGCACCCACCCGGCCAAGAAACGCAGAGAAACGCTGCTGACATCTGCTGACACTTCTTGGCAACAGCTAAGAAAAGAAATTGAAGAAACGAATGGAAGAAGAACCAAGTGAATAAAAAAGCATCGCAAACCTCTAGGATCGAAGTA